AACGCAAAAAAAAGTGCAATTAACATTCAGCATGCTCGCTAAATCACTAAAGAATCACATCACTCGAATCGAGAACAGTCCACGCGCTTTGCTTCACTCAATTTGCTTTATCGGTTAGCAATAACTGGCCACGATACAGCTGATAAGCTATGGCTTTTTCCCGTGACGTAATGAATTGACATTGTCCTGTGGATATCCCAAGAGATTTTCAACACAGATTAACAAAATTAACAAGGAGGGTGGTTTGAGCTGCTATTTGACTCACACACCCTACAATATAAATGGGGGGATGTATCTATCGAGCTACCTACTCCACAATATTCCACTGCTAGAAGCAAAGTTGCTTCACTTGCAGCAACAAAAATGGAACATAAAACTTCTTGTTATTCTACATTATATAAGCTGGTGAGGATGGTTAGAGTTTATGGAATGGATAGAACGTTAGCTAGCTGGCTTGCCGATAAGAATAAGAATAATTCCAATAAGGTGAAGATAGTTGTGATTAATGGAATATTGTCTCCTCGGCACTGAGTAATGAAGTCCTGTGGGAATCTGTTCTGGGTTCCCCCACTGTTTAACAACAACTTGCATTTGTATAGCACCTGTCACACAGCGTAGCATCTCGGAGGGCTTAACAATGGAGTAATGTGACGCCAAGATGGGGAGAAAGGAAAGGTGACCATAGGAATGGTCAAAGAGGACATCTTAATGGAAGGCGCTATTTCCACTGTTGTATTATTGCCGATGACACCAAGCTACCTGTCCATCAAATGACATTAAAGAGGATAGTAACCAAATTAAGCAGATGGAATTTAACAAAGGCTTTAATAAAGTAGGCTGTGATGAAGGATTGCCTGGCCCTCAGAGTGAAATGTATCTAATTATGGAAACTGCATAATTCACTAAAACAGCAAGTAAAGCAACTTTGGCAGATAATCAGCCTTCATGTTAACTTATGCTCTGTTAAGCTGAAATAGACTGACATCAGTCAGGGTACTTCAGGCTGAACATTATCCACACAGCTAAAGCCGAGGACTTCAAGGTTCAGGCTTCTACCGCCTTCAAGTGCTTCATGTGCTTGTGGCCCTGATCAATTCACACTGGAACTCCTGCTGTGCCGTGAGCAAACACATGACAAAGAAACCTTCCCCCGTGTTTGTAATTGGGGCAGCAAAGTAAACACAACAGGCCTATTGCTCCCTACTGATGTTTGGCAGCTTCATTGGTTAAAAAATGTTGATTATTCGTTTTAAAAAAAAGCCCCAAGACTCTGGAATACCCTTCTTCTATCCCTCCGCCTTGCCCCCTCCTTCCCCATCTTCTGGTCGTGCCTGTATACCTTCCTGTTCTTCCATTTCATTCAAAATAGAAATCGCCTCAATTTATCTGCAGTGAGCAACACCCTCAAGAAGTAAAGCCCCATCTTAGCCCCAAGTAAATGGACACTGTAGAGTAATGGACATGGGGCATGTAATGGACATTATACAGCCAGTTACTTTTGCTCACAATGGAGATGATAAACGGGTGGCAAGACACAGAGCTGTGGAGGGGGAAGGGGTTTGTCGACACTCCACATGTTTGAGGAGTTGAGGTACCACGGACCACTCGCAATCACGATCCACCATTCAACATCCAAATGCTTGCAATACAACATAGCCCCTTAGCTCACCTCCAACTGCCATCATCTTCAAATTTCAGTCTATTTGTGGTAGGAATGAAACTTTTAACTGGAAAGGTACCATTCGGCTCAGGCACTGTGTCTTGTGCTGGGAGCAGAGAGAAATTCTGGGTCTCACAGGTAGAATCTGTCAGCCTGATCTCATTTTCTGCTCCCGATGTCAGGGAAAACACAATATTTTTTTCTATTACATCTAGCTCTTCAGCTTCTGAAAAGCACAGTATTGAGAGCCCAAAGACATGTTCTACGCCCGCTTGTGCTCCCGTTTCATTATCATTAATGATAATGGAATTTGTTTCCTTCTACGAGAGAAATATAGAAGCTCTACACTGGGTACAACAATAACAACAACTTGCATTTAAATAGCGCCCTTCATGCAGGACAGAATCTCGGAGTGTTGCATTGCAATAATTTTTACAATGAAATATGTATGTTTTGAGTTTTTTCGGAGACCTTAGTGTAACCAACGGTTTGCTAAACGTCAAGTAGCGTTTCAAAGTTTTGCATAAGTATACAAATAGACCATAATGTGTTGAAATATGATGAAGATTTTCATCCCACTTGTCAGGCAGCTGTAGTTATTCCAGTCAGTCACTCACACTGTCTGCTTCTCAAGTGGAACAAAAAATAGCATCAATAACGTGGAGACATAATATTCCGCTGTCGCCAGATCTCGAGACCAGCTCTTTCTTAGTATTTTTCTTAAGTAGCATTTTTTTTTAAAAACAAAATGACCCAGCCTTTGGCACGACGTAGCAGGGCTCCTTGCGTGAGCAGTTTTGGAAGAGGAAATATAATCCTCTGTCCCACTCAGAATTGCTCCATTCGTATCAGAGCTGTTAAAAATAAACCCTGAGGTAGAATGAATGAGGCGTTAGTATATTCTGTTCTATGGTTTCTGGCAAGTGTAGTCAGTAAGATGATTAAGACAGAAGAAGCTAGCACTATCAGTGTGTAAGCCAGCAATATTAGTGTGTAAGTCAGCACTATTAGTGTGTGAGCTTGCACTATTAAGCTGGGGAATATGAAACAATGCAGAGCAAGCACAATGTATCTGGGGCAACTGGAACATAAAGTGTGCCATTTATTCACTCTCTGTGCAAAGGCTGATATGCCAAGCGAAATAGTGATTTAGGTACATTGAATTATGCAACTACAGATTGCCACGATAGAGACCAATGTACTAGATCTGCTGCTATATGGAATTTCTAAGTTTGAAATTCAAACTTAAATATTTCATTCGGTACCTCCACCATGATCGGCAGATGAAGATACTGGTTATTTAACACCGAGAGCTTTTTATCCTTTGCTCTGCGGGTAGAAAACCTAGGCAACAAATTCAGCTTTCTGTTGAGATCAGCCTTATTACATCATAAATATGACAGCTACATTAAACCCTAGGCTTACTTTCCTTACTCCACACACCTGTTTACTAACAGCAAGTAGGAACCCAGCTGTTAGTCGATTGGCTGATCAGTTTTCCTGGGGTAATAATCCCTTCAAATTTTTGTCTTGCTTAAAAGTAAATAATTTGGCCACTCAATCCACTAATGTTTGTGGGACGCTGCTGTGCGCAATTGGCTGCCACGTTTCTCCCACAAAATATACAGTCAATTCATTTTACAGTATATTCTGTGAAGCGCTTTGAGACATCTCGAAGATGTGATAAGACGCTAAATCAAATGCAAGCATTATATTATTATTTTGCTGCAAGGAATGGTGACTTGATGTGTATTAAACCCTCTCTTCAAAAGAATCAAGTTATGGTTATTTTATCATAACAGACAGGGAAGGAAGAGAGGGGGGAGCGAATTCTTGTTCCTTACCCTCTGAAAATGCTTAGACAAAAATAAATCCAGGAGAAATTTCTCCCACAATAATCTTAGAGACTGAGCTGGTTTATTTACAGAGTTGCATATAATACGATCTTTCCAGCAATATAATGGGATCCAATGCTGTTTGCTTGCAACAGAAATCAACCATGCCTTGCACTGAGAATGATATTGCTAGGTACACTTGACTTTCTAGAATAAATATCTCTCAATATTGTAAACATCAAAAGATTTCTGTCATCTGATTTCTACTTGCCGGGTGCAATATTAGTCTCATTCGCTCCTGATTACTTATTCAAGTGGATTCACTTGTATTTTCCCGTTAAAGATATAAATTGGTTTGTTCAGTAGCCCAGTCTGATTAATGTAACCTTTCGAGGATTCCGAAAGTTTTCCAACTCAGCTGATGTGTCTTTCAAACTTAACTTAGTCAAAGGAGGTCTGCCAATGAAAATGTGCTTCACGTTTTCTATTAATTTTGAAATCAGGATAATAACCCTTGTGATTATGCAAAAAAAAACTTTACTTCATGGCTGTTAGTGGGACTCTGCTAATGCACAAATTGGCCTCCACGTTTGCCTACACATATACAGTCATTAAACTTCACGGTATAATCTTGTGCAGTGCTTTGAGACATCTCAATGATATGATAAGGCACTACTATAACACAAATAATAATTGTTAATATTATCTTCTAAAAAATGAAGAAAATTGGCTCTCTAATTACGACTGAATTTCAGAATTTTCCAAAATTCCACACAAATCTTAAATTTTGGAGAAATAACTGTTTTTGAAACATCACGTTTCTTTATTCAGTTCATTTTCTGTTTAGATTTAGATCTAGGTGGCAACCCCCCCAAAACCAGGCTGTCCCATCCACTTCCATGTCAGCCGAGAGAACAAGAAATACTCATGTCATCCCACAGCCACATACATTGCCTATAGTGACGTGATCACATGCAGCAGATGGGGATTTTGTTGGGTTTATAAAGATGCCTTTAAAGTTCACTGTTGAGGTGAGGCCCCAATGGAAACACTGAGTTCGGTAACTGCTAAAGGCTTGAGATGTCACAAGCAGTTGGTAAGACAGACGTGACATGTTAGAACAATGTCCAATCAAACTTCTCAAGCATTTGACCCAGTCACTTGCAGAGAAGAGAGAACGTGTTGTATAATGGGCCAAGAACTTGAAACTACAAGAGTCTTAAAAACTTTGAATCCCTATAAAAGATGATAGGGTTACATAAAACTCTACCAGATTAGTGCTTTCTTCTCAAGTACAGGCTTATCAACAGACTATTTCGCTGTTATTTTTAGATTAAAAATATCAATTTTGTAAAGAACTTCATCCTATATTGATCAAAAATGTAAACCATAGTTTTACTGCTTTCATTCCCCATTTGGATTGACATTACGGTGAAAGCTGATCAGTCGTGAACCTTATTTTAAAGCATATAGCAGTAAATGAGAAACAAAATTTATATACTTACAGCCAACCATCATCATGGCCACCGAGAATATCTTCTCCCCATCAGTGGTAGGGGCAATGTTGCCAAATCCTATGGTGGTAAGGCTGGTCATGGTAAAGTAAAGGGACGATATGTACAGCGAGTTTTTCGTAGGTCCACCTTCCCATTCTCCTGTGCCACTGGCGTTAAAACGATAAGGTGTCCTGGTACTCAGTCCCAGCTGGTAAAGCCAGCTCTCTGTTTTTATTGTGTTTGTGATCTCGTCAATGACTTCATAGTCCCCAATGCTGTACCATATGCAGGCAAGCCAATGAGCCACCAGGCCGAAAACGCAGACCAAAAGCACCAGCACCGCAGCACCATACTCCAGATAATGGTCCAACTTCCTAGCGACACGTCCAAGTCTCAGCAGACGGACAACCTTCAAGGAGCTGAACAGGCTGCTAATACCCTGCAATCAACAAATAACGAATCGTGTTATTTTGCAAAGGGCTCCTTAAAGCCAGAGAGAGATTTCGCGTGACTTGTTACGTACGGTTGGCCTTTTAATACGGCGAGGAAGGAAATGACTCAGTATGAAAGCAACAATGATAACCAGCAATTTTTTCAGCAAATGTTACTGTTACCCTCAAAGATACATCAGATGAAAGTTACTTCGAAACACTGCTTGCAGGGCAGGTCATTTATATCTTCGTTAGGTTTGAGTCAGCACCATTTAGGAGAAGGCAGCTCAATCTACAAGTGAAATCAGCACCCGTACGACATAACATCTTGCATTATTCCCCCAATTCATTTCATCCTGCTCCAGCTACACTGTGTTCTCAAGTTAAATATAATAAAAAGTGTCAAGTAATAGATCAGAACCGTCAATTGATTCTGACATTCTTATTCTAACATTCTTAGCGATATATTAGTGTCATAAATACCATCACTTGCAATCTCAGGACAACATAAACGGATAACTGACAAAGCACATTGAATTAAGAATTGATCCAAAGATTTTATATGTGTCCCAAGGCACGGACTGTGACAGCACTTTTTATTCCTTCATTTAAAACATGAGGTAAGCGAACATCTCCAGAGAAGAGACTTTTTAGACCACATTCACACACAGCTCTGCGTAAGTGTTCTATTAAAATAACGATAGACCTACGATAACATGTAAAAGTGAAGTTGTTACTATCTGTTTACCTGGCAGTAAGTAGGAAGTCGTTTGTAGATTGCTTTCCGGGCACAATAATAAATAATAATAATTCTGAAGCTCAATCCACAGCTGCTTCGGGGACACCGCTGTGCGCAATTGGCTGCTGCATTTTGCCCACAAAATATAGTCAATTCACTTTGCAGTATGTTCTGTGAAGCGCTATGAGACGTCTCAATGATGTGATAAGACGCTATATCAAACATAAGGATTATTGTTACTACTGTGCATGCATGCTCAATTTTGGCTCTCGTGCCATTTTTCAATCAGTATCTACCCATTATAGACATTCAGGCAGCTTGGAGCCACGAGTCCTACTCTGCGAGACTATTTTTCTGATTTATATTCTGACATTGGAAAAGGTTCTGAGTTATGACACAATTCCATGAGTTGTCTGTCACTGCTCGCACACAGTCTGATCTGCAAAGACAGCACACCTGCTGTGAATACACTGCAGCTCTTATTGTTTCAGCTTGGCACCCAAATTTGATAAACTTGCCCAATTTCAGGCTTACAATGCAAGGAAATATTTAACTGCTCATTCTAACCTACAAGTAGCAATATTCTGAGAAAAGGCTTGTGTTAAAACACACCACAGGGAAAACGCTGTATAAAACTAGCAAAGCTGAATCTATGGCACCTCTCATATTATATTGAATTTTATCTCAACATAAAGTTCTTTTGCAACCAGTGAATTATTAATAAACATTTCTCAATCGGAGGGTAGGACTTTAGACTCAGTGAATATAAGATTAACAGTAACCTTGCTTCACATGTGACTGTTGATATTCCGAGGTGTGCAAACTCATTTCAATCAATATAGTATGGTTCCTTACACTCTATTATTTCTATTTAGGTATGTCACTTCCTCACATATTGTATTCACATATTATGAGATTTGCCATTTAATCGTTCCACCAAATACACACTTGTAGTGCGGATTTTCAACTATCCAGGCTTGTTCAATGGTGGGAATCAGTAAGAAACTCTTACAGAAAGATATAGCGTGATATACCACAACTACCCTCCTCCCATTTCTGTAATTATTATCTAAATGTTTCCGAATGGCTGAACAGTAACTCTCAATGTCAAATTGCTAAGACTAAATAGACCACTTTGTAAAGGTGTCAACAAAAAAACCTCAAGGGTATTTTTAAATGAAAATATAATGTAGATGAAAGTGCAGTAGCTTATTATGGAGCCTCCAACCATTTACAGTAAATTCCTGATAACTTGTCACTCCAAGGGCAAAAGGCTCAGTGACAAGTTATCCGGAGTGGCAAATTCAGCACATGTATAAATAAATGTGGCCGTCATATTGACAGCACAATGACTTAAGTGATAGTGAAAGTTAAACCAGGGTCAAGTTATCAGGAGTTTACTGTATAATTATACAGTAAAAACTTTACCTTATACATATACTTTATATATATGTATACATATACCTTATAAAGTATATACTTTACAATCAGGTAATAAATGTCGCTCCCACAAAACAATCCCAACTCTTTGGCACCAAAGTGCATTTTGTCTGTTCTCTATAATGTTAGTGACTAAATTAGGTTCCATACCCTAAATGGAATAAGCTGGAGAAATATTCACCGTGCTATATAGTTTATGGGTGATTGATGGGGAGTAAGAGCAATTCTGACAATTCATCCAACTCCCATTACAGAAGAGATAGTTTGCAATGCAGTACCCACTGTAAACATGAACTTTAATGGTATATAGCTCCTAGTACAGTTTTTTCCATTGAAAACAGCAACTAAGCATATAGGAACTTGGCAGAGTTCTTAACTGCGGTACGGCATTGAGTAAAATGCTTACAATATGCCTGCAGTGGTTCTTTGAAGAAACATTTGTCCAGTGTTGTGATCTAATACCTGTACATCAACACCCACCACCTCTCCAATCCATTGCATGCAGAGATTTATTTGAGCTAAAGACTCACCCTTACTAAATAAATAATCTGGTCACTCAATCCGCGTCTGTTTGTGGGACTCTGCTGTGCACAATTGGCTCCCTCGTTTCACGCACAAAACTTACAGTACATTCTGTGGAGCGCTAGTATTCGGAGTATTTTATTTTAATTTCTGGTTTTGATTTTTTTCTCATGAATTTAGCAATCTTGATCTTTCCATTTGCTTAAAGTTGAACTTTCGCGCTATCTTTCTTGATTGTTTCTGCTTTGAGCTTTTAAAGGGGACATTAACAGAACAAAATGATACTAGTCGCTCAGTAGAGGATTTTCGCATCAAATGCCTGGTTACCTGGTCAACAATTCCCCCCTCCCCCACCCCCAAATATAAATGGACATTCACTTCATGGCTGTTTGTTGGACATTGCTATGTGCACATGTGCTGTTGCGTTTGCCTAGAAAAGTCACTACTTTACAGAATATTCTGGGAAGCACTTCTTGATGTCCTCCTGATGTGCAAGGCCCTTTATCAAATGCAAGGATTATTATTATTATTATTATTATCATTATCATGCCTTTTTTTTGAGAAACACAGATGAGATATGAAGTCGGTCCCTCCGAATTTGCTTCATTCACCCTTCTCCCTATTTCAGTCACAGAGACAAAAGCATTACTTTGTAAATTGTTGCGAAAAGAACAATTTGCAAGCAATTTCACAGCGAACACCTGAGACCTTAGCTATAGCAATGTCCCCGATTTGAAACTGAAGAAATCTCACACAAAGGTTGGATGAGCAGCTCTTCTCTTTAATAATAATAATAATCCTTGCATTTGATCACATCTTCGAGCCGTCTCAAAGCGCTTCACAGTTTCACAATTATTATCCCCGGAAAAGCAACAACAACAACAAGATTCCATTTATAGAGCGCCTTTCACGTCGGGAGGACGTCCCAAGGCGCTGTACAGTTGGGTCAGGACCCGAGCAGGGGGTAAATGGTCAGGGTGAGGGGAGGGAAGGGAGGGAGCGAGGAGGGGGTAGAGAGTCGAGAGGGCAATCCGCCAATCGACTAACATCCAGGTTTTTATCTCCTGCTCGGTAAAGCGAGGCTTATGGAGTAAGGAAACATACCTAACTTTTTGCCCTGCCCAGGATTCAAACCCAGGTCTTCTCAATTGTGAGGCGAGTGCTCTAACCAATACACTACAGGATTCCACAAAGCCTTCATTTTAGATAACTGCTTCAGGACTGTGCTTCCAATAGCCTAATCCAATGAACATTAAATATTCTTTTTAACTCAAAAGCTAAGTCTAAGGTCCAAGAGGTTTACATATGCCCTGACTCACTTCCAGAGAATAAATCTGAGTCAGTTAAAATCATTTAATCCTGACCCGATCTTCCTTAAATCAAAAAGTTATTGGATAGATTCCGGGAGTTTGGGGAACATCAGGTAATACTAAGCTCCAGTGCATTTAAAAGGAATAATTAGTTGGGGTAATGTTTCTTTTCCCATTAGCTCCAGTGGCAAATTATTGTAAGCAAACTATTAGCTCATAGTCACAGAGAACAAGACGCTGGAACTTATTGATTGCAGTTGGGAACAGTAGCTGGTGAAATCTGCCCACAGGAGAATACAATTGCGAAACAAATTACTGTGGCTTACTTCGTGCATTTGATTTATTCTTACAATGTAGATAACATAATGTTAACACAAACAAGCAGGATTCCCTATATTATTCTAGATGTGTGCTGATACCACTCATTTATAATAATCCTTGCATTTGACGTCTTCTAGACATCTCAAAGCGCTTCCCGCCTTAGCCTCCTTCAAGTCCCGCCTCAAAACCCTCCTCTTCGACCATGCCATCGGCCACCCCCCTTCCCCTCCCCTCTCCCCCCCCCCCCCAACCCCAGCTCGGGTCTGAAATGCTGTACTCTGTACAGCTCCTTGGGATGTCCTCCCGACGTGAAAGGCACTATACAAATGTAATCTTGTTGTTGTTGTTCACGGAATATACTGTAAAGTGGGATGACTGTATGTTTTGTGGGAGAAACGCAGCAGCCAATTGCATACAGCTGTGTCCCATAAACAGTCGTGGATTAAGTGACCAAATTATTATTATTTTTGTGAAGGGGTTATTACCTGGAAAAGCGATCCGCCAATCGACTAACAGCCGGGTTCCTACTTACTGCTAGATAAACCGAGGCGTGTGGAGTAACGAAACTTGCCTAAGGTTTTGCCCTAACCAGGAATTGTACCCAGGTTCTCTCGCTCTAACCACAAAGCTACTATCTCATTGATGAGCTCAGTTCTGATATGCAACTTTAAGCATT